CTCTCTTTTGTTTGTTATCAGTGATGTCCATATTGAAAGAATGTTGGCTGGTAGAGAATACACAAAAAAGGAAGGAGTGGCATCTCTTATTTTAAAATGCTGAAACCCATGATTGAAGAGCTACAGATAAAGAATCACTTGTCCAGATGCTGAAGAACCACACACAGAGGAAAAATATCAAAGGAAAAAAAATGCTGTACACTTTTGGGACCTGCCAAAAAAGGTGTTGGGTAGAGAATGACCTTCCTGCTGGGAGTCTGTGACCTTTATAATGAAGAAGCAGTTTCCCACTGTTAACACTGTCAGGAATAGGGTTGTGCTGTCATCATATCCATTGCCAAGTCTCCTGACTGTAATGTCACTCCAACCCCAACCACTACTGCTGAGTTAGTGGCCTCTATTTTGTGTTCTAACATAGCATTAATCATTCTCCCATGTAAATATGTATTTACTTGAGTGTGTAAAGGAATAAGAAAGCCTATAGCCTCAGAGTCACCTCTCTTGTATAAAGGTCCTTCAGATAATCATTATGTTTAGATAGTCTGTGATGTCTTAGAAATGCAAAATTGAGCACCAAACCAAATTTTATATTTACTGTTTGGCAGACTATTTATCACTTATGTAAAATTTATTTGTGCTTATTGTTTATGCAGTATGCTTAAAAATGTATTTCCAGCAGAACTCTTCAAATTCACAAGACTGGAAGTTAGTTTTCTAGAAACAGATTTTGAGTTTCAGTATGAGATCTTTCTTAAGTCTATCCTAACATTATAGTTGTTTTTCCTTTGTTAAAAATAAGGAAAAGATAGGGGCACCTGGCTGGCTCAGTCGTGGAGCATGAGACTCTTAATCTCAGGGTTGTGAATTTGAGCCCCACATTGGGTACAGAGAATTCTTAAAAATAAAATCTTTAAAAAGTAAGGGAAAAAAATATAATTCTAAGTTCAGTTGGCTAACCAGCAAATTCTTTTTTTATTATGTTATGTTAATCACCATACATTACATCATTAGTTTTTGATGTAGTGTTCCATGATTCATTGTTTGCATATAACACCCTGTGCTCCATGCAGAACGTGCCCTCTTTAATACCCATCGCCAGGCTAACCAATCCTCCCACCCCCTTCCCTCTAGAACCCTCAGTTTGTTTCTTAGAGTCCATAGTCTCTCATAGTTTGTCTCCCCCTCCGATTTCCACCCTCTTCATTTTTCCCTTCCTGCTGTACCTCTGAAACAAATAATACATTATATGTTAAAAAAAAAAATAACCAGCAAATTCTACCAAATATTTAAAGAAGGCATAACACCATTCTTACAGAAACTATTCTAGAGAGTAGAAAGAGAACACTCCCTGATTCATTTCTAAGGCTAGCATAATCTTTGTAACAAAACTTGACAAAGACATTACAAAAATGGAAAATAACAGTTATTCTCATTCAAGAACACAGATGTAAAAATCCTAACCAACGTGTTAGCAAACCAAATCCAACATATATAATAAGGGTAATATAATAAGACAGGATTTTATTAGGAATGCAAAATTGGTTTAACATCCAAAACCAGTCAATGTAATTCACATATTAACAGAAAAATTATATGATTATCTCATAGATGCAGGAAAATTTGATAAAATTAAACATTCCTTTATGATAAACTTCTAATAATTTAGAAATAAAAGAGAACTCTCTTAATTGCTAAAGGGATATGCAAAAAAACCTATCACAAACATCATACTTAATGGTGAAATGTTGGAAGTTTTCCAGTTTGGGAATAAGACAGAAGTGCATGTTCTCTTTGTTTCTGTTTAGCATTGCGCTGGAAGTCCTAGCCAATGCAGTAAGACAAGACAAAGAAAAGGAAAAACGTGTTGGAAAAGAAAGAAATTGAATGGTCATTATTATCTGCCAATGGGATTATATGTACAGCAAATTCAAAAAGATTTAAGATACACTATTAGAGTTATGTATAATTAAATTACAGTTATATAATTATATAATATACATGTATATTACTATATGTATTTTTAGAATTAGTAATTATATATAAAACCTGGGATAAACCAAAGAACAGAAATATGTAAGACTTGTATAGAAAATGTAAAGCAATATTGAAAAGAAGTTGGTGACTCAGGTAAATAGAAGGATGCATCTTGCTCATAGATTGAAGATCAGTATTGTAAAGATTCATCTCTAGATCCAGCCCAGCCCAGTCAAAACCTCAGGTGTTATTCCCATGTATTAGAATGGTACGTCACCACAGTAAATAATCCCAATGACCAGACATATTTGAAGGAATTTTAATATTTTCCTATTTGGTAAGCAGTGATTGGTATATTTTTATTTTAGAAGTGAGGGGACGTACTTGGGTACATCAGGAAGAAGTTTTTAGTAGTCATTCAGTTTTTACTTCTGTTGTGAAAATTGATTTTAAAGAGCAGTCCTGGAGTCAGAAGTCTCAAAAAGCTCTTGCTACAATCAGTTACTTTGCCTACAAGTTTTGTGCTGTCCCTAACCATATGTGGCTATTTAAATTGATCCTAGTCAATTCATTAGATGCCCTAGCCTCCATTTGAGTGCTCAGCCACATGTGGCCTCTTTTTGGATGGTGCAGATATTGACCATTTCTATCACAGAAAGTTTTACTGGACACCACTCCAACAAGGCTTTGCACCTTTTTGAACAGACACCAAATAAAATTTTAGGTGGACTGGGGTTGAGCAACTGTTCTCATTTACCACCTGCCAATTGGGTGGTCAGAAGTGGCCCAGCTTAAAGCCTATCTCACTGATTGGGTGTTTATTAGCAAGATACTAGATTTTCTGGTGAAGAAAATCAATTAGAGAAGAAATTGCAGTACAAATTTCAAACTATCCAACCTTGAGTTGTGGGATTATTGTTTACATCTAGGCAGACTTCTTGGGTTAAGCCCTAAGAGCCTAGGTAGCTAAGATCTTAATCATTTGAGAAGGTTTCTCATGGAGTTTGCCTCACAAAGGATTGGCTGAGGCCCAAGGGGATTCACATTAAGCTTAAGGAATGGAAACCCTGAAGGACTGTAATAGATTTTTGCTGCTGAGATTCAGCACTTGATGAATCTGGCTCTTTTGATTAGAGAGCTCTCAAATGGTAATTTCCCTTCCCTTTCCCAACTTTTTTCTTCCTTTCCTCCTCTCATCACATAGCTAATATCCAAGTATACAAGAAAAGTGGTTTCAGAGTGGTCTGGATTATGTAAGGAAGCTTGTGCAGCTGAGGTTCTGCTGGAAGCTAGGTGGATCTACAGCAGTAGATGGGGAATTATGAGGGACTCAAGTTAGAAATCGATTGCATTGGATGCATCTAAAAGTGTGGTTGGGATTTATGACTGTGTCATGAAATGAAAAAAAAAAACTTTACAGTTTGGATGTAATCACCCACAAACTGGCTGCTTTGGAAGACAGCCTTTTGGGAGGAAGAGTCAGCTAGATAAAAGGACTACATAATGGGGGTGTGGGCCTGGGGTGAGGGGATGTATTTATTGGGGCCTGTTATATCATCCTAGCTTCTCTTTGTCTAGGAATTGTAAAAGCTTGTGATTTATTGCTGGAACTTTGATTCAGAGTTGCTAAGCGCCTGCTGTTGTGTTTCAGGCTGTAGGTTTGGACCTTGGGGTTCCAAGAGCCAAAACAGAGAGCCAGTGCTCCGTCTGATACGGGAGACAAATGTTCACAAATAATTACCATACAGTGTTATTCATACGTATTCAGAAGATCCTTGAACATCAGTTTAGTCTGATTCCTTAATTTTCTACTACAGGCAGCTGAGGCCCAGAGCAGGAAGGAGACTGGTGGAAGTAATGCCAGAACTAGAACCTGGATTTTTTTCTTTTTAAGATTTTATTTATTTGACAGAGAGAGACATAGCGAGAGAGGGAACACAAACAGGGGGAGTGGGAGAGGGAGCAGCAGGCTTCCCGCCGAGCAGGGAGCCAGATGCGGGCCTCGATTCCAGGCCCCTGGGATCATGACCTGAGCCGAAGGCAGACGCTTAACGACTGAGCCACCCAGGCGCCCCTAGAACCTGGATTTTTTTGCTGATTGGACTACACTAAAATATGATCACCATCCTTGATGGCATCAACCATTTTCCTATCTGCATACAGCCCACTTCTTGCATAATGCCCCCTTGATGGCCCGCTTTTCCTCAGATACCACTTAGCTGTCTTTTCCTTGCATTTATTGTGCTTTTATGGTATGTCTGTCTTCCCTTTTAGATCTCAAATGTGATCAGGACAGGCAGCTTGCCCGCTACGTTCTTTGTACCCATCTCATTCCCATGCTCAGCATGGTCTGAATAACTGTCAGGTTTAATCCTTAAGAGTTGGACACGTTGGGTTCCAACCTGTTTGTTTCTTTGTGAGACACCTTCGACTAATCACCTCCTTCTACATTAATAAAAATTCCACTTCTGGGTCCACATGAATACATACTATATTGTGAATTGAGTGAGGTTACTGTTTGATTGCCGAGTTTTGGAGGAGGGAGGCATGGCCCAGAAACCATACTTTAGGGAGAGATGTGTACGAACTGGGAGACACTGCCGGCCCCAGGGTCCGGTTCAGTAGCTGGTGGCCTTGCTGTGCGCCCGGGTTGAGAGGCGGGCGAGGGCGGGGTTGCGCTGCGCAGGGGCGCTGTGCGACGGGCTCTGTTGCCGGAACTAGTCCTAGTCGCGCGCCCGGACGCGCGCAGCGCCGCCCCTCCCCCCCTTCCCCGCGGGGTGGAAACAAAGGGGGCTCGGCGCGCGGAGCCGAGCCTAGGGGGAAAGGGGCGGAGCGTCTGGTGGTCTCGCGCTTTGTGGTCGCTAGGTTTGTTCCTGTTGGGGGACGTGGTGGGGAGGCGGGCAGCGACCTCAAACCGAGAAGTGGGAGTGCCGCGTGCTCGCGCATCTTGCGGCCTGGCGGCGAGGGGCGTCGCCTGCGCGCGCAGCGGAGGATAGTGCGCCGGCGCGGCACGCCGTGTTCGCGAGCACCGAGGCGGGGTGCGGCGGGGCGGGACCGTGCCGCGGCCCCGGCAGTTAGGGCCCGGGGGCGGAGAGGATGGAGCCCCCGAGGCGTTAGCCGACTCTGTCAGCTCTGACCGTGCAGCTGTTTCCTGGTGCGGCCCGTGTGATGGTGCCGGGAGGAAGGAAGCGCCGAGACAGCGCCTCGGTCGGAGCCCGGGTTCCGGGAGTGAGGAGGCCCGGGAACGGCGGAGCTGGCGAGCTGGCCGCTGGCTGGGCGAGCGGTCACAATAGGAGGCGGCGGCCCAGCAAGGAGCCGCGGGAGCAGCCCCGCAGGGCGGAGCCTCCCCTCGCAGGTACTGGCCGCTGCGGCCGTTGGTTCCCGCGTGAGGGCGGGACGGTCTGAGCTGCAGGCCGTTGGGAGCCTGTGGGGGCCGCTCCCGGCAACCAGAAGGAGGTGTGGTTGCCCGGTGCTTGGCGGGGCGCGGAGCGGCTGCCCGGCGCTCTTTGTTCCCGTGGCGGCGGCGTGGAGGTGTGGGTGCAGCCAGCGGGAGCGCCAGCCCGCCGCCGCCTGGCAGATGGCCTCTCGCGCGCGCTCCCTCCCGTTTTGCCGAGGCGCAGGTGAAATGATGTCACCCAGGAGAACGCGGAACCCGTTCCGAAGGGTCCTTTCGCGTCCTTCTGCTCTGCGGGTTTCTGGACAGGCTGCGGTTTGTTCTCAGGGCATGGAAGTTCTTCTCAGGGCTGAAGAATGAGAGAGGTTGGTTTTGTACTGGGAATTTTTCAAATTATTAGAGAACTAAAGAAAATAAAGTTTTTGTTTCCGTGTGTAGGACCTGTAAGACATAATTTTTTCTTTGTGCTACAAAAGCTGGGTATGCTAATTTTTCCACCATAAATAGAAATGAATACTTAACATATGTCATTGCTGGCATCATGTGAATTGCCTTCTCTTACGTGGCGCACTTCACTTGGAAAATTTAAGTGTATGCAACTCATACACAAGCGGTTTGTTACTTTAGAATTGCGAACCTTTTGGGATCCTGTTTGACCTTGATTATAGGTGCTGTTGTTAGTACATTTACTTCAGTTCCTTTCAGTAGCAAGCAGCCCAGGTAACTAGGCTCAAGTTAAAAATCCATTCGCACAGTTTTTGTGAAATCAAAACGTAACAAATCTAAGGACAGTTGGGATCAAAGTAAAATTTTTCCTGTCTTCAGACAACATACTGGAAAGGAAGAGATAGGACTTCTATAGAAGTAACAATACAAGACCAAATATAGTTGTTGGATCAGTTGCAGTGAAGTTGGGACATACTTGGAATCAAAAGATGAAATTACGAACTGGATTTTTAAATGAGAATTGTATCTCTCCACATACTTATTTCTCCAGTTCTAACTTGTAAACTTATTGGAGTAATGTTTCTTTTTGAAAACATATTAAACCTTAAATCTATTCATTACAGGAGTTCAATCTTAAGTTGATTAATATAATTTTCTGTGAGACTTATCTCTAAGAGATTTGGTAGACTTTAAAGGCTATAGTTAAATGAATTTTACCACAAACTGGCCATGTGGGCCATAGGGCCTCATCTGCAAAATATGAAAGTTGGATGTAAATGATGTCTGTGGTCCCTCCACCTCTGATATCTTCTCTGATTCTGGAAGGTAGTTTGTTTCTGTATTTATTGTGGTTTATGTACGCATCCTGTTTTTATAGCTGAACTAAGTTTGCAAGTATTAATATGAGTAAATGTTGACAACCTGATTTTTGAGGGAGGGTAGACATAGGATGGCATAGTTAGACATAACTGAATCTGTTAGCATCATAATGTGGAATGTAGATCTGTTGTCTCTCTTCCAACAGCTTTGGATGAACCTTTTAGTTACATTGCCAGACTATTTGTGCTCATTTTTACTTTTTTTCAAGGTTGTGGGTGGGAAGTATGGATGAGAAATCCTTGAATAAAAATCTCAAATGATCTGTATGGAAAGATCTTTGTCTTCTAGTCTGTTCCATCTTTTTCTCCTGTGCTGCCTGTTTTGTTTAGGCCACTGTCATTTTGTAATTAACTTTGCTGGTTTTTGTGTAGTGTCTGGGTCTACTTACTAGTTTTGTTGTTGTTGTTTTTTTTGTTATTTTCTTATTAACCATATATATCAGGCATGTTTTCACTTCTGTTTTGGTTAACTCAGCTTGTTTTATTTTTCTCTGGAGAGTATACAGATTGTAAACACACATTTGAATATAGTTTTGGTCTAGTTCATTCATTCTGCAAATGTTAAATTCTTGAAGTGACTGCCTTTGTGGAGGAGATAAAGCAAATGCTTTAATTCTGTATAGTAAATTAACAAGTGAGAAATTTGAGCAAACAGAAGAAGAGGGGCCATTTACACAGTCTCAGTTTTTCCACTATTCTTACATCTTTTCATGTTCCTTTTTTAAGGACTTCAGCACCTTACCTTTTCCTTCTTTATGTTAGAGGGCCCTATTCCTCATTTAGTTCTTGTGGAATTGCCCCTCATCAGACAGTCTCTTTGAGGGCAAGAATAATTTCTTTTTTCCCCATGTATTCATAGCATCTAGCACATAGTAGACGTGCAATAAATATTTGAATTAATTATGAATTTTATTTAATAATCGTAAAGAGCCTAGTCACACTTTATCTTTTCAAATATATATTTATATAAATTTTTCATATTGATTTGGACTGGTCATGGTCTAGATACTTTCCAAATCCGTGTAATTCTTAAGAGAGAAATCTTGAAGAGATACTTTAGAGCATTGTGCTAAGAGGTTACCAGCATAAATAGTACTTCTTGCTGGGAGAATAATCTTTGTTCCGGCAAATCTGGATGTGGAAGGGAAAGAAGAAAACTTAAAAAAATTTGTAACTCTTATTTTTCTAACCTTTATGTCCACCTTCTCAGTAGATGTTATGGTTAGAGACCTCCTTATTGCATGTACCTCGCCCCCCACCCCCCCACTCCCCGCCGATTAATTTATGGGACTGTGGGGTTAGGGAAAGGATGGTGGAGCCTTTAGCTATTTTCACCAAACCTTGTTCTGTTGTCCTTCCAGAAAGACATGAACCCAGTTTGTTGTTTGCCTTAACTCAAGAATGGAAATAATAGTTTGTTTTAGAAAATGATTGCCCCAATGCTGAACAGCAGTGATCCTCCTTCAGTAGATAGTACCAGTTCTTGAATGGGTTAAGGCTGCATGGTAGTCCACCAAGCATGTTACCATTATTTTACTTAGCAAATGTTTATTTGTTAAACATTTAGGTTACTTCTAGTTCCCTTTTTAAATTGTTGCTATTACTGTACTGTGATGAACGTATTTGTGCATGTGGCTTTTCCCTTATTTTGGGGTATTCCCATATTGGAGTATAACCTGAGAATTTATCAGATGAAAGATTACCGATTCAGACTGTTCAAATAGTTAATAAAATCTACTTGATTATTTTCCAGGAGATTAACATTTGCCATCATGGAAGCAGTGAGAATATGTGGATTTTTAGATAATTTGGATTTGACCTTTTCGTTTTTTAGGTACCCAGACTTGCACCTAGAGGAAGACTTGGAGGAGTCAACACTAAGCATCTGACTCTTCATCTTTTATTTTGGTTTGGTTTGTTTTTTTTTTCCCCTCTTCTAATAGGCTGTGATTTGAGTACTTTTGACCAGTTGGTATGCTGCTAGTAACAATGAACTCCGCGCCTCCCCCCCCCTTGGAGAGTAATGTGGTTGTTTTGGGGAAGACTATTTGGCTTTATAGCAATTTATTTTGAAGAAAGTAGATTATTTTAACGCTGGCCTAGAGGTCATGTACCTGCATATCTTCTGTCTCACCTATATGAGAAAAATGTAAATGAACGAAGAAGGAAGCTCCCATCAGAAGTGATTTTGGAGGAAGCAAGTTCTGGGACAATATCTGGACCTAAGTTCTGTTATTTTTAGTACCATGACTGGTAATAGACTCTTCAAGACAAAGTTTAAATCGTTAGTTATAGTACGGTTTACCACACGGCGAAAGGCCACATTAAACAAAAGATGGCCTAAAATAGTACCATATTGGTGCTTAAAAGGTTAAACTGTTTTCTGTGACTTTAGTCTTGTGAAACAGGTGCTTTTCTCAGTTATGCTGGGTGAATTAGTCATATAGTTATATGTAAATAAACATTAAAAATGAGAAGTGTAGGGAGTTGGAGATTAATCAGGTCTCAGGGATGTTTTCTTGGCAGGACTTTTTAAACATAGGTTGCATCCTGAGTGAAGACTGAAGTGACTGTATCTTTGTAATGTTCAACAGTTGCCAGGTTAGAGAAGAATACAATTGTATCAATTTCCAGATATGGTATATCTTAAGTAATTTTAAATGAGGAAGATTGAGGGAAATAGTGGAAAGTTATGTCAGAAATAATTTATAAGGAAATATTTTTTGAATACTTAAAATAGACTGTGGAATAGTTTTTTTATAATCCAATTAGATTACAAAGAATGTTACTTTTTTTGGTAAGTTTTATTTAAGTAATCTCTACACCCAACATGGGGTTTGAACTCAAACCTGGAGATCAAGAGTCACTTGCTCTTGTAATTGAGCCAGCCAGGTGCCCCAAGAATGGTACTTTTAAAATTCTTAAAGGTGTTTTAGTGGGTTGAGCATGGATTTTAGAGCCAGGTAGACTTAGCTTCAAATTATGGCTCTGGTATTCATGAGATACGTGGCTTTAAGCAAGTCAGTTAACCTTGACTTGCAGTGTGTAAAGATCAGAGAGCTAATTCAGTTCCTAGCATGAAGTTAGCTATTATCAGATTTTAAAAACTGCTGTATTGCTTAGATAAAAATGTCTTAATTTATATCTTTCATCAAATTAATACAGCTGAAACTCTGGAGAAGAAACTTTCTTCAGGTGTGGTACAGCAATTTCTGTTCTATTCGATACATAATGTCATGTTAGTTTTCTATTGTGTGTAACAAATTACCACACATTTAGTACCTTAAAACATGAATCTCTTATCCCACAGTTTACATGGATCAGGAATCTTGATTTGGGTTAAGCTGCAGGGCCCTCTGTTAGGGATTTTACCTGTCTGGTGCTGTGATGTCATGAGAAGTTTGATGTCCTCTTCCAGGCTTACTGGTTGTTGGTTCAATATGGTTCATAGGACTGAAGTCCCCGTTGTCTTGCTGTCAACTGGTGACCCTCTCAGCTCCTAGAGGGTGCCCTCATGTCTCTGCCACATGGCCCCATTCGTATGCCTTCTGACAAACATAGTGGTTGCCTGCAGGGTTGACAGGAGAATCTCTTCAGGAAGGGTCAGTTCCTCTTCCAAGAGCTTTCTTTAAGTTGGGCTTACCTTGATTAACTTAAAATCAACTGACTTGGGATCTTAATTACGTTTAAATCCCTTCACTTCTGTGAATGCATTCATATAATTAGGTTATATAATTTAACCTAACCATGGAAATGAAATCCACTGTATTTATAGTTTTGCCTGCACACCATGGAGGGATGGATTATACAGGAGATGTGTACCAGAGGTGGGAATCTTGGAGGCCTTCTTAGAATTCTGCCTTACATGGACACACAAAATGATTATATGTGATTTTATCCAGTGGGTGCACCTGGTTTCAAGCCCATCTATCATTTTGTCCTGGATCTGTATTAACGACAGCATTTGAATATAGCTTTTCTCCATTGGTGGTGGTTTTGGTTTTTTTTGGTCCTCCCTTTTTATAGACAAATGGAGCTTTTGACCGAAGGAAATTGTTGTGGATAGGAGAGGAATATGCTTGAAAATTACTAACTTATGAGCACAAGGGCCAGGGTTTGTCAGAGTTTTGTTTTTGTTTTCTTATATATGACTGAAATCTTAAGTTTCCAAAGGAACAAAGAATTAAGGAGAGGAAACCTGAGTCCCTGATCTCTGTTTGCCAAGCTAGCCACTTGTACTAGCAGTTTATAAGAGTGCTCCTCATGCAGACTGCTTCATGTATGATAGTTGAAGATAGGTGAGCTTTTTAAAACACTCTTCAAAGGTATCTTGCAAATTATAAGCTTACGATTACAAAAAGAATATGAAACTTACGTAAAGGAACAGACTTTTAAGAGAATTGCTTTGAAGTGGTGAAAGAACTCCTTAGATTGAGTGAGGAGTCAGGAATGTGAAATACACTTCTTCCTATGAAATCTGTCTTCAGATAAACTCAAGGCTCCTACCTCTATTTTAATTTTTACCTGTATTCAGACATTTAAGACATCATCTTATAGTTGGCTACTTTGCATTTTTTTTTTAAACTAGAATAAGTTCCTTGAGGGCAGGATCCATGTTTTGTCTTCTAACAACTCTTGATTTGCAGGAGGCATTCAGTGAATATTCCTTGATTCTGCACTTCATGCTTCATCATAGTGGTAAAGAATATTAGCACACTCGTGTGTAGTGCAGAGATAAGCTTTAACTCATGTTGAACGTATTTTGTGTAGCAGTAGTAATGAATTCTAAAGTTACTGCCCTCAAGTGATTTTTACTCCTAGGAAGGTGTTTGGAAATAATTTTCGTCTTACCAGCAGGCCTGGTTATCTATTTACCAGGCTCATGGTAAACCAGAAACAATTTATAAAGGTAACGGTTAAGGAAGGTTATTGTAGAAGTATTATTAATATAATTAGCATGCCATTTCATGATCTGTGTCTGCCTTCCTCTCTGGTTACTTCTGTACTGGATAGCCAAACTGAACATTTTGCAGTTTCTTGACTTTACTGCTGTATTTTGCCAGTTACCTCTCCATAGCACCCAGTGCCTATAGTATTATCATAGGAAGATGATACTCTGTATATTGTATAGTGATTTGCTTTTGTTTCTTTTTCATAGCATACACTTCTTTTTTTTTTTTTTTTTTTAAAGATTTTATTTATTTATTTGAGAGAGAGAATGAGATAGAGAGAGCATGAGAGAGGGGAGGGTCAGAGGGAGAAGCAGACTCCCTGCTGAGCAGGGAGCCCGATGCGGGACTCGATCCCAGGACTCCAAGATCATGACCTGAGCCGAAGGCAGTCGCTTAACCAACTGAGCCACCCAGGCGCCCTATAGCATACACTTCTTGAAAGTAGGAAACCATGCCTATCTTCTCGGTTTAGTGCCTGTCACAGAATAGATATTTATATGTAAGGGAATGAATGAGACGGTGAAACTGAAAGCCAGACAGTGGTTTAAAGCACATGGTCTTCAGTGTAGGAGTAAGCAAGTTCACACACCTTAACTCCCAAGGGTAGTAGTTCATTCCACAGCACAGTGATACAAGTGATGATCATGATGTCCATGATTAAAAGTGCTGCAGATTTAAGTTTATATTACATATGAGTTTAAGGGGATTAACCTATGATCAAGTCAAGCGTTTAAAACGTGCAGTCATTTGCTTTGGGGCTTATGATCTTACCCTTTATTCTTAAGGTCACTAGTTTGTGTTGAATAGAGCTGAGCTGTCCACAAACTCTTCTTTTTTATACCTGTGGTAATTATAGAAGGTTTGCTACAAATGTTCTGAAATCTCTTGTCGTCTTTGCATGATCATACAGAAGGTTAATTAAAAAACAATGAAAAAATATTACTCTTAGTCACGATGGACAGTAATCTTTCTGTACTTGAAACATGATTTTACCTCAGGTTTTCTTAACATGAAGTCTTATCTATCCTTGATTTTAGAATTAATACCAACAGAAAAGATACTGATATTTTATCAGAAACAAAGGAAGGACCTTGCATTTTTGAGCAGTGCTGTTTTGTCTTTTAAAAAAGTTTTTGTAAGAGATCTGTTGCCAGAGGCAACCTTTGCCATCCTTATATTTGTTTTGATGTTTAAGATTAATTTTTAATTTCTTTCCAGTCTCTGCTAACACAAATACGTAGAAAATCCAGACTGTCCTTCATAGACCTGATTCTCCACATTGGTGCGGCTAGCCATGAACTATCCTTTTCTTCTCCCTCTTTTTCCCAGATATCTCCCGGGTCCAATTCAGCACCTCTACCTGGCCATCCTAACAAGGTGATTTGTGAAAGGGTGAGACTTCAGAGCCTGTTCCCTCTCCTCCCAAGTGATCAGAATACTACCGTTCAAGAGGATGCTCACTTCAAAGCTTTCTTCCAGGTTCTTATATATTTACCCTTCCTACGTAGGGCTGAAAGTCACAGATTCATTTTAGGTTGTTTCTAGGAAGGCTTAAAACAGAATTCTCAATATCTTCTTCTTATTTTCTGTTGTATGTGGGAATAAGTATTCTTCTTAGAGGACTTCTTCAACATAACTTTTTAGCCAGCTTTTCTGAAGAATGTTTGTCTTCTCTTGAGCTGCTGTTTATTATTTGACCACTTAATATTCTTGTTTTTTATCTTTTGGTCTTAATCACTTGTCCTAATAGGCTAAGTTCTAAAGGAAAGTAGATATATGAAGTTGTGTAGGAATGGAAAAATGGAAGCATGCAAGATAGTTTTTAAAGCCGTCACTACTTACTTGCTTAGTGCCCAGAGTTTGATAGTGATGTATATTTCAAAAAGAAAACATGGTAACGTGCCTTCTATCACTTTTGGTACCTGTAGGTAAAATGTGATTAAAATTTTTGTTATATATAAAATGAAAATAAATTAAGGCAGGGGGGGGCTGTCATTAGTTTATTGACAAGATTGCTAGCATGTGTTCACATAAATTACTGGCAACTCAATTTCCAATCCATTACTCCTGGAGAAGCATGTTTTAGTAATGGAAGTCAGTATTAGTATTACCAAAAGGAAACTAGTTATAAAATTGCTTCTGGATATTAGGGTTGTGGGCCAAGGCATATATTTGTATATGTGTATATAAATCTGAGGTAGTGAGAGTCGCTCATCAAAGCTTGGACTTTTGGATAGAACTGGCTCATTTTCTGTTTGTGTGAGAGTGGTAGGTTGGGGCTTGGGACTAGTTCTGAAAGAGAAATGCTTGTGATACATTAAATTGGAGTTGTGAAATTTCTGAGAATAGCTTTGTAGGTGATCCATGGCTCTTCAATATGATATTCCTTGTTGCAATTTGTGCCAGGTTCTCCTCTTTGCATGTATTGTCTCCTTTGTTTTTAACCCTCCTAATAATAAACCAGTCATGGATGGTTTTCTAGATGAAGAAATAGGCTCAGAAAAGCTCTCTGAGATGCCCAGTTACATAGCTAGTTATTGGCAGAGCAGAGAGTCAAATTCACCTTTTGCTATTTCTTGTCTACTATAACATACCACCTTTAGATAACAGGCATTTCTGTAAGTAGTACAGTTGTATGTTAAGAGACATAGTTATCTGTATTGAAATAAGTGGAGTATTGACTACCATTTTTGATACAGCATTGGTCTGTAATAGCTTGATATTTAGTAGTAAACCAGTGTAGCTAAGGAAGAAATTGACTTACTACTTTCACTACTGCCACCAGTAAACAGTTATTTGATGTTTTCTTTGTTTTCCATACTTCTTTGAGTCTTCAGGCATTAACTCAATATTAACTTTAAACTCAAGGAGTTTCTGGCAAATGCAATAGATTTAAACATGTTTTGAAAACAAAAAGAGCCAATTCCACTTGAGTGTTGCAGAAAGGTGAAAGGTATTATTGTTAAATTTTTATTTATAGCCCTAGTTAAACTGAAGACTTCCTTTTTTCTAACTTTAAAACAAGGGCCTCAGTGTACTTGGCTCCCAGGGAAGACTGGAGATTATTCTCTGCCCACTTCCTCACCTACCACTGTTGTGCATAAAGCAAAGTAAATCCTTCTCACATCCCCTTTGAGATGCTGTCACATACCTTCATCTAATTCTGATAATACAATTGGGTATGATTTCTTGTTCCAGTTATGCTTCTCTCATCCTTAGAAAACCTAGTTGCCACGTGAAAGGGAGAAATCTACCCATTTCTTATCCTTGGAGTTATTCTTTTAATGTTATGTTTTCATTTCTTGGCTCTCCCCCAAGTTCCTTCCCTCCCAGCTTTTTCTGCTTCTCCTTCCCTTTGGAATACTCCATTTTAAACAGACTCACTTACCTCTTCCATTTTTTTTTTTTCTTAAAGCATCCTCTTTGTTCCCTTATCTTAGCTGAAACCAGTCTCTTTTCAGAGGATATCATTTTCCCTGCGATCTTGTATATGAGTTAAAAAAAAAATTTTTTGCCCCCCCCCCCCCCCCCCGCCTTCAAGCATGGGAATTGAGTATGTCTCTAGTAAGTGGGACGGTCGTAGAGGAGAAGGAAAGTGTTTGATATTCTCCCGGATCCTTGTTTCCAACCACCAGTCATCTTTGAACAAAAATCTCATCTGTTTTTGAGCTATATTTGTTATTCATCTCCACTTTATCAATTTTGTCACTGTTCTTATTAAAGACCTTTATACTTTGCTTGTTTTATATTACTCTTTGTCAAAATCTTTCAAAATTTACAGGCTCTTTTAATTTTTAAAATTACAAAAATATTTCGTATGTGAAAGTTACAAAGTATAAATCAGACATATAATTTTAAAAATACCATCCATCTTAAGAAGTCAACCATTACCAATACTTTAGAAGTATTCAAATGACCTTCCATATTATATCTACCTGCTGTTGCATACCTGTGCCTTGGGTAAAACTCTGAATTTTGTGTTTAATACCCCTTTGCTTCTCTAAGTGGTTTCACCACATGCAGTATCTCTCAATACTATACTGTTTAGTTTCTGAACTTAATATAAACAGTATCATACTTTGTATTTTTCTCATTTTGAGATTCATCCATGTTGATGCATGTGGCCGGAGAGTTGATTCATTTCCTTTTTGTATTCCATTTTATATGAATATGCTAACATTAATATGTTATTCAAAATTTGTGTTTTCTTTTTGATGGACATTTCCAGTAGTTTCCAGTTTTTTACTATTATTGCAAGCAATGTTGCCATGAATATTCTTGTATGTGTTTCAAGATTTTATTCATTTGAGAGAGCGAGCGAGCACCAGTGGGGGACAGAGGGAGAGGGAGAAACAGATTCCCTGCTGAGCAAGGGGCCCAGTGCGGGGCTTGATCCCAGGACTCTGGGATCATGACCTGAGCCAAAGTCAGATGCTTAACCAACTGAGCCACCCAGGTGCCCCTTAGTTGATATTTTAATTTCTATAAAAGTGATGGCTTTGTGTATTTGTTACCCTGGATTTTCTCACAGAAGAGGTATAGGTGTAGGCACATTTGCATCTCTATAAAAATAAGTCTGTATTCAACATTAGAATCAAAGTACCCCCTATAATTGTTTTAGAAATTTAAAGTATAATTTTTTTTTTTTTAAAGATTTTATTTATTTGAGAGAGAGAGAGCATGAGAGGGGAGAGGGTCAGAGGGAGAAGCAGACTCCCTGCCGAGCAGGGAGCCCGATGCGGGACTCGATCCTGGGACTCCAGGATCATGACCTGAGCCGAAGGCAGTCGCTTAACCAACTGAGCCACCCAGGTGCCCTAATTTTTTTTTTTTTTTAAGATTTTATTTATTTATTTGACAGAGAGATAGAGTACAGATAGGCAGAGTGGCAGGGAGAGGGAGAAGCAGGCTCTCCGCCGAGCAGGGAGCCCGATGCGGGGATCGATCCCAGGACTCTGGGATCATGACCTGAGCTGAAGACAGACGCTTAACCAACTGAGCCACCCAGGTGCCCCAGTTTAAAGTATAATTAACATACAGTAAAATTCACCCTTGTAGAGTGCAGGTTTGTGACTTTTGACAAATGTATACAGATGTGGAACCACTGCCACAATCAAGATATTATAACAATTCCATCTCCCAAAAAAATTCCCTCTTGTCTCTGCTATCTACCCCTTATAGTTTTAAAATTAGCAGTTTCTGTACTATCAACCAATTCATTGATTCAATCATTCATGATTGAAGATAGGGTGCTTTCATAAAACAGGTACATTGTGGGGAACTTAGATTTCGTGTCTAGAACCCTTGATTTCAGGTGTGTGTGTGTGTGTCTTAATGATAGCTGTGTGATACTTTATTTTGTAAGTTTATGAAAGTTAATTAGGTGATTGAAATTTTCATGATTTATACACAGAGATAGACATTTCTGAAAGAGAAAACTATTGTAAAAAAATTTCTCTTCTCCAGCAAAGTTATAGACTGAATAAAAATTTCAGCCAAAATATCAGAATTTTATGATTTTATGGGGCGCCTGGGTGGCTCAGTCGTTGAGCGTCTGCCTTCAGCTCGGGTCATGATCCCAGAGTCCTGGGATCGAGCCCCACGTCGGGCTCCCTGCTCTGCGGGAGGCCTGCTTCTCCCTCTCCCACTCCCCCTGCTTGTGTTCCCTCTCTCGCTGTGTCTCTCTCTGTCAAATAAATAGATAAAATCTTTTAAAAAAAAAAAAAGAATTTTATGATTTTAGAAACCTTACAGAGTCATCCTAAATTCATAAGAAAGATTTTCAAAGAAAAGACGGGGGGAAAAACTATTTTGAAAATTGTTGTAAGAGGCAATATGCATAATAGATACTAAATCATATTACAAAGAAATAGCTCCATGTCAGTGAGCTGTTTGTTGTTAAACACAGTGGATGTTTTTCAGTCCCCATCTTAATGTGACCTCTCAGTTGAATCCTTGAAACTCCATTCTACTGGCTTCTCTCACCACACTCCACTTTCCTCTCATCAGCTACTCGGCATAAAATATTTCTTAAGAGTTCAATATTGGGCTTCCTTTTCTCTGTATAAATTATTTGGGGGAAATTTTGTTCATGCCTGTAGCTTCATTAACCTGTCCATCTATCTGTGTACCAAAAAGTAAAACTTCTAGTGTCTGAGCTCCAGCTATCTGCAGAAAACTCCAAATGGGTAGCTCAGAGGGATTTCTTGATTTCAGGTTGTTCTTAATATCTTCTCTGTTTTCATTGGTTTCGTGTTTATGCCTCAGTTTTTTTTATTTTAACCATTGATTTGTGTTTACAGCTTAAAGTTATTATAGTTGCAGATTCATGATGCATAAAATCTAGTGTTTTTGTGGAACTAACATACCATTTGGAAACAAATTACAACATCAAGGTAAATCAGTTTTTGTGAACCAGTGATGTTTTGTGTAATTAAAAATTAAGAAAGAGACACGTGGGTGGTTCAGTCAGTTAAGCGTCTGACTCTTGATCTCAGGGTTGTGAGTTCAGGCCCCACATTGGGCTCCACGCTGGGCGTGGAGTCTACTTAATTTTTTTTTTTTTTAAGAAAAAATAGGACATTAATATGTTGTTCTAAAGTCAGGGAGCCCTAGAAGTTGGACTATGAGTTATGGCCAATGATAGTATCATCATATTTTCACACAATATTGGATTCTGTTCATTATGATGGGATTGCAGTGCTATACCACTAGAGTCCCTTTCCAAGCACTCACTGCACATAAAAAATCTTCTTTGGCCTTTCATGAAAAAACACAAACTTGGATCGTATCAAAAAGCAAATTTCTGATTTTTCTTTTTTAATGCATACTTTTGAAAATACAGTATTCAAAGCCTCCTTCCCCTCTATATGTGCAAGATAACATCCCAGGAAAATGTACTGTTCGTCTTGTTATGAGTTTAGATTTTACTCTGAAATCTTTTGAGCTGAGGAAAATCAGAGCTGTGCATTAGAAAATTGAAGTCCAGTGTGAATTATGTGAAACAGGACTATGCATTGTGTCGTTCAAAGGCAGCAGTCATTCAGTTGGTTCGTCTTGACTAATAGCAGCACATCAATCTGGATATAGTATAAACAAAGACTTCAGGTTGTGGAGAATTAAATGAGAGAATGTAGAGAGATCATTTTATAAACCATATTGTATGATTCAAATATGAAATTGTTAATTTCTTTTCCTGTGCTTATATCCTTCCTTTGCAAAACAAACCAAAAAAAATGGTCCATCTTGATGGTTATTCCTTATTACCAGTTTGCTTTATATGAAGTGTCTTAGTTTTCTAAGTATTTTGACATCTATTGTTTAAAATGAATGAAAACAATTTAACATTTGTTCCTTAATTGTGAAATGAGAAATTTTATCTTCTGTCGAAGATAGTTAAGGCAAGTGGAGAAGGTCTGGGTGTTTATTTTTTTTTAATTTTTTGAGAGGAAGAGTGAGTCGGGGCAGGTGGGCGTTGGGGGGTGGCAGACAAAGGGAGAAGGAGAGAATCTTAAGCAGGCTCCACGCCCAGCACAGAGCCCGATGTGGGGCCTCATCTCACGACTCTGAGATCATGACCTGAGCCAAAATCAAGAGTCAGACATTGGGGGTGCCTGGGTGGCTCAATTGATCAAAGCATCCAGCTTGCTTAAGATTCTCTCTCTTCCTCTGCCCGCCTCCTTCTCTCCCTCTCTTACAAAAAAAAAAAAAAAAAAAAAGTTTGGTGCTTAACTGACTGAGGCACCCAGGGGGTCCCAAGAAAGTAAATTTCTCTTTTATGGCGGGTTTATCCTTAGGGACTCTTCCTAAGAGAGTTCCTTAACTTGGTTTGGTGGTTCTCAAAGTGTACTTCCAGACCAGCAGTAGCAAGCATCACCCACAAACAATTTAGAAATGAAGATTCATGGGCCCAACAACCTGGTGGTTCTGACACATGCAGAAGTGTAAGAACCACTGGCCAACTTAATGGGAGTATCCCTCCAGATTTTGCTTTGCATTTACCTCTGTCAAGAGTCCTTGTGGTAGCATAATTCTGAACCAGTTTCTATATTTCTAAGCTTAGAGGTTCATAGGCAACCTCTATGGGTAATGAAAGAATTGAATCCTAAATTTGGTGTGAGGAGCTAACCTGTGGTTTGAATTCTTAGGAGAGAAATCTCTTCTCCAGTTCCCAGTCCAGACAAAGTAGATACGTTTACTTATGATTCTCCATGCCAGTGAACTTTTTCTAGTCTGTCTGTCTTTCTTTCTTTCTTTCGATTTTATTTGACAGAGAGACACAGCGAGAGAGGGATCACAAGCAGGGGGAGTGGGAGAGGGAGAAGCAGGTCTCCCTTGGAGCAGAGAGCCTGACGTGGGGAATCTGCTTGAGGTTCTCTCTCTCTTCCTCCCCTCCACCCAGCATGAGTGCTCTCTCTCTAGAATGAATAAATAAGTGTTTAAAAAAATAAATGGTCAAGGGCGCCTGGGTGGCTACGTTGGTTAAGCGACTGCCCTCGGCTCAGGTCATGATCCTGGAGTCCTGGGATTGAGTCCCACATTGGGCTCCCTGCTCAGCAGGGAGTCTGCTTCTCCCTCTGACCTTACCCCCTCTCGTGTTCTCTCTCTCATTCTCTCGCTCTCGCTCTCAAATAAATAAATAAAATCTTTAATAAAAAAAATAAAAAATGGTCAAGTTCCATACAACTGCTTATCGCCTTACTGTGTACCTTATATGTCAATGAGTTTTATGATAATTTTTAAGAAACAGATTTTACTTTTCATTTGATAGTTACTTTGCATCTCCCTTCCCTTACCCAGCATCTTTGGTTCTTTAAAGATATTTAATTTGGGTTGACAGCATATTTTTCCCCTCCTTTACTCTTTAAGGTAAATATATTTAAACACCTATGCATATATAGTAATGCAGAATTCTTATTAAAAAGTCTTACTAAGTTGATTGATTTTTTTGCATTGGCAGAGTGAAGATAGTCCGAGTCCCAAGAGACAGCGCCTCTCTCATTCAGTCTTTGATTATACATCAGCATCACCAGCTCCCTCACCACCAATGCGACCATGGGAGATGACATCAAATAGGCAGCCCCCTTCAGTTCGATCAAGCCAACATCACTTCTCAGGGGAACGATGCAACACACCTGCACGCAACAGAAGAAGGTTAGTTGATTACAGTGTATGTCTTAAGTTTTCTTCCATTGGTAGATTTATGAGATTTTTTTTTAATGTCAGAAAGCATTTTTTTCCCCTGTGGGTATTTTATGAACACATCAGCACATATGTACTCATACACCCACACATGAAAAACAGCATGACACATTGTTTAGACTCCCACACTAGAGCATGAGAGTTCATTTAGCTTGTGTTGACAGGTGAAGAAATTGAAAGAGGCTACAGTGACTTAACCTAAAATCAACCCATGTCATTATATATGAATTCAGCTACTTTATGGTTTAAGGCTTTGTGTGGGCTAGCCTGCAATTCTGATTACAGAAAAATGCATTTTATAGTTCAAAAGTGTAAGGAAGTACGGAGACCCTAGAAATGAGCTACCTTTTTTTTTTTTTCACTCCATTCCTATTTCTTCTGTATCCTTAAGGCAATTGGGAGCTTAATCAGGTTTCTTATAAAACTGTGGAGCCTGTGGTGTGAAAGACTCAGTGAGGTTTCCTTCAGTGCTCAGTCCTCTCTGTCATGGGATTTGGCCCCTGGCTTTCCTTTCCAGAGGAATATATTTCTTCTGAGCTTCTTCCTCTTCAGTTGTGGCCTGAGGTCATACATTTCTTCTTCAGGGAAATTGTGTATCCTTGGAGTAAGAGAAGTGTTTGCATGTCCAGGATGTTGGTAATCTAAGAAACATTGAAACTCTTGAGTTAGCAAGTTGTTATGGACTGAATGTTTGTGTCTCTTCAAAATTCATATGTTGAAGCCCTAATTCCCAGTGTGGTTATATTTGGAGATGGGGTCTCTAAGGAAGTAATTAAGGTTGAATGAAATCATAAGGGTGGGGCCCTCAATCCAATAGGATTGGTGTCCTTATAAGAAGAGACACCAGAGAGCTCACTCTCTCTAGCATGTGAGGACACAGTGAAAAGGTGGTCACCTGCAAACCAGGAAGAGAGCTCTCACCAGAAACCCATCATGCTGACACCTTGATCTTGGACTTTTAGTATCCAGAGCTGTGAGAAAATTAATTTTTGTTGTTTAAGCCACCTACTGTGTGGTATTTTGTTATGGCAGCCCTGGGAAACTAATACTGAAGGATCTTTTTTTTTTTAAAGATTTTATTTATTTATTTGACAGAGAGAGACACAGCGAATGAGGGAACACAAGCAGCGGGAGTGGGAGAGGGAGAAGCAGGCTCCCCGCAGAGCAGGGAGCCCGATGCGGGGCTCGATCCCAGGACCCCGGGACCATGACCCGAGCCAAAGGCAGACGCTTAACAACTGAGCCACCCAGGCGCCCTAATACTGAAGGATCTTAAAACCACCATTCTTGGGACACCTTGGTTAAGTGTCTGCCTTTGGCTCAGGTCATGATCCCAGCGCCCTGGGATCAAGTCCTGCATTGGGCTCCCTGCTCAGCGGGGAGCCTGCTTCTCCCTCTGCTTGCTGCGCTCTCTCTCTCTCTCTCTCTCTGACAAATAAAATCTTAAAAAAATTTAAGAAACCACCATTCTTTGTTCCAAATGAGACAAAATAAACCTGTTTCTGAGTTATATTCTGTTGAGACACTAAGACTTTTACATTACTTGGTGCATTTTCCCCCAATTTTATGGGAATGTTTAAGTTAAAATAATGTATGTCAACCCAGGTAAAATATTTTATAGCTGTTAAATATAATAGCATGAGACAATATGGTTGTTTGTTTCAAGGTTACAGTCTAAGCACCTGCTGTAATCTTTTCTATTGTATTATGGTGAAATGTGTCATACATTCAGAAGAACATGTAAAACAAGCATTCACTTAAAAGGATAACACAAAAGTGTATCAACACCCAGGTTAAAATAGAACATTGTCAATACTTCAAAAGCCCCTGTTCATTCTTCCTAGAGGATAAACCCTGTTCTGTGATTTGACATCAGTCCCTTGTTAATACTTTTTAATACCTAGGAATGTATTCTAAAACAATGTAATTTTAGGTTTTGCCAGTTTTACTTTCATTTAAATATATTCTCCTTTGATTTTGTTTATCAAACATTGTATTTTTAACGTGGATAGCAGTAGTTCATTTATTTTTACTTGGTATAATCTTACATTATGGTGATATACCATTATTTATCCATCTATTGAGTAATGGTTATGCTCAGTTTCTTACTATTACAAAGAGTGTTATTAGGAACCTTTTATGTACACATTTCTGGTGTACATGTGGAAACATTTCACTAGTGTATAGGCCTAGGAGTACAATTGCTGGATCATAGGAAAGGCTCTGGATCAGAAAGGGAATGTCAGAAGTGTCCATTTCCAGATAGTAGTAGTAACTAGCTGTGGGTTGTTAAATTGAAGAGAAGCATCATGCTCTAAGCTCATGGAAACACAGAGGCGGGAGGATAGGAGGAAGCACTTACCTAGAAAACTTAAAGGCTTATTCTGCCCAGCAGTGTGTGTTACTCCTTACCCCATTCTCCATTTAGTACTTTATTGTAGGCTAGCTTTAAGCTTAGCTGCCAGATTGCCTCCCAGAAGCAGGCTGTGCAAGCAGATACAATATTCAGCAGCAGTCTACCATAATTTAAGATACAAAGATGAGCACACAAAGTGAAAGAAGGACACTAAACTCAATAAAACAAAGAACTTAAAGAAACAGTTAATAGAACAGACAGAATTTTTGAGTAAGTGTAACATGAGAGACATGCAAGAGGATATTCATAAAAGTCACCTAGAAACCTTACTAAGGAAAAATTTAGAACTCAGGAAATGTGCAGAAAAGGTGTCCTAGTTTCTGGAAGATCAAGTGGAGAAATTTTCCCAGATGTAGTGTAAAAGGCAAAATGAAAAGTATGGATAAAAAAGTTTAAATATAGAGACAGAGCCATCAGTTCTAAGTATGTCTAATAATATTTTCAGATGGAGACAATGGAGGGGACCTTTAAAAAACAAAAAAAAAAGATTCTATTTATTTGACAGCACAGCAGGGGGAGTGGCAGGCAGAGGGAGAGGGAGAGGCAGGCTCCCCGCAGAGCAGGGGAGGCCCCATGTGGGACTTGATCCCAGGACACTGGAATCGTGACCTGAGCTGAAGGCAGTCGCTTAATCAACTGAGCCACGCAGGCACCCCGAACGGACCTTTTAAAAGAATGCAAAACCATTTCTCAGAATTTAAGCAAGACTGAGTGTTGAACAAGACTTTGGTGGACTTACAGAACATACACCAAGGATAATAAAAATTCACAAATGTTCCAAGACAAACTTTGAGTTCTGCCAGCTGATTGATCACTTAAGTGTAAAGCCAAAATATAAATACATTTCAAATATTAAGAGACAGAATTGACCAGCAAGAAATCCTCACTGAAAGAATTGTTAGGAATTGTACTCTCTCCAGGAAGCAGAAAAATGAATGCAAGAACTAGGATTCAAGACCATTGGTTAGCAAAGGAAATGAAAAAGACATACTATTAAGTCTGAGTAAAGGTCTGTTGTTTAAAAAAGAGAAAGAAGGGTGCCTGGGTGGCTCAGTTGGTTAAGCGACTGCCTTCGGCTCAGGTCATGATCCTGGAGTCCCGGGATCGAGTCCCGCATCGGGCTCCCTGCTCAGCGGGGAGCCTGCTTCTCCCTCTGACCCTCCCCCCTCTCATGTGCTCTGTCATTCTCTCTCTCTCAAATAAATAAATAAATAAATCTAAAAAAAAAGAGAGAAAGAAATACGGAAACAATCTGCACATGAGATGGGGACAGAGTGGCGAGAAGAGTATAATAGCTTAATTTCTACCTGCCAGGAAGCTGAGTAAATCTGGGTGTTTTTAGGAAAGTGTAGGTATATATTTAAAAATTAAGGGTAATCACTAGGAGAATAGAAATAAGGAATGTATAGCTTCTACACAAAAATAGGTAACACGTATAGAAAACTCAATCCAACATTAGGCAGGTAAGAGGACAGAACAGCTATATGGCAAATGATACACCAAAAATAAAATGACAAAATATGATAAAGTCAACTGAAAGAACTATTTGTCCATATTTTATTATTATCATTATTTCTTATTTCTAGATTTTTCAATTATTCTGCTTTCTAAAGGTCACAAATAACATTTAATGAGAGGCCATATAGTAAAGATAAAGGGACCAAATAATAGAGAGACTTGAATGTCAGCATGAGGACTTGGATCGTAATTTGTGTTTCGTTGGGAGTGCTGCTGAAATTTTTGAGTAGGAAAATAAGAACAAGTGGCAACAACAGAATAAAACAATAATAAAGGGGCCCTTAAAGTTTATGTATAGGTTGAGTAGATTTTCAGGAGATGAATGATCTGAGCACATGTACTCTATTTTGATTTTAAGGTACATATTTTCCCACATCTTAACATCTATTAAGGACTTAGAATTGATGGTATATCATAGTTTAATTGGCATCTTTTTTAATTTTTTATATAAAACAGTCCTTTATCTTACATATTTATTTTAAGATTTAATTTTAAGTAACCTCTACAGCCAACTCCAACACACAAACCTGAGATCCAGAGTCACACGCTCCACTGGCTAAACTAGCTAGGCGCCCCATAAAACAGTCCTTTAAAATATTTGTATAGATAACAGCGGCGCCTGGGTGGCTCAGTCGGTTAAGCGTCTGACTCTTGGTTTCGGGCTCAAGTCATGAACCTCAGCGTCGTGAGATGGAGCCCCATGTTGGGCTCTGTGCCAGGCATGGAGCCTGCTTAAGATTCTCTCTCTCCCTCTCCCTCTCCCCACCCCCCAAAAAAATAAATAAAAGGGAGATATGACAACTATATGCAATAATGGGATCCTGTATTGGATTCTCAACAGTGAGGGGACAAAGGTGGAAAAACTAGTGAAATCTGAAATATGCCCTGTTGTTTAATTAGTAGTACAATACCAGGGTTTATTAATTTTAGTAATTTTTTTATGCTTACGGAAGATAGCATGAAGGAAAGCTGGGCAAAGGGTATACAAAAAACTATACCAAAATTACCTCAAAACATTTAAAAAGTGAGTTCTAGGGTGGATGGCATCTTATATTCAATGAAATACAGTATGTAGATTTTGAAGCAAAGATATGTAAACTTTGCAAAAGGAGACATATTAAAATAAAGTTAGTGGAGGCAATTAATGGAACAAGAACCTGGGGAGTGGTATCAAGAGCACTATCTAAGAGTTAATGTCAACAAGGAATGTCCTTGTTCTCTTTAAGATTGGGCAATTGGGAGTGAGAAGCAGCAGATTTAGGGGTAGAGAGGTGACCTGATCTCATTAAAGATTGCTGAAGGGGCTGTATGTATAGCTTTGTCTGGAAGGGGGCTGTTTGGCCTCTTTTGGCCAATGTAGAGTACATTTTGTTTGTTTATTTTAAAGATTTCATTTATTAGAGAGCGTGAGCGGGCACAAGCAGTGGAGAGGGAGAAGCAGCCTGCCCATCGAGCAGGGACCTGATGCCAGGCTCAATCCCAGGACTCTGGGATCATGACCTGAGCCAAAGGCAGCCACTTAACCGACTGAGCCACCCAGGTGCCCCTGTAGAGTACATTTTTTTTTAAAGATATTATTTATTTATTTGACAGAGAGAGATAGCGAGAGCAGGAACACAGGCAGGGGGAGTGGGAGAGGGAGAAGCAGGCTTCCTGTCAAGCAGGGAGCCTGATGTGGGACTCCATCCCAGGACTCTGGGATCATGACCTGAGCCGAAGGCAGTCGCTTAACCAACTGAGCCACCCAGGCGCCCCTGTAGAGTACATTTTAATGAGGCTGCTTTTTTGAATTGCATTGATGCTGAGCCATTGTAAAAAGCATTGGAGATGAATTGTGGAATTGTAGAGAAGTAGAAAAATGGAAATCTCACAATAACAGCTTGACAAAATTTGTGTTAAACTATGTAGATGACTATGACTGGTGTAGGGGGGAGTAAAAGTGGTTTCCTTCATAACCAGTCTTTAAAAATTCTTGTTACAGGAATATTTATGCTGACACTATCTCAGTCATTTCCATTTCCAGCATTTACTGAGTTACTATTATATTTGCAGTTGTCAACAAATGTTCTTAGTTATTTTATGTATTTTCTACTTGCTTTTTGAAAAATTCTCATTTTAATTATGGAGGAACTCTTTTTTTCACCTTCTCGATTTTTTTTTTTTTTTTTAATTGAAGTATAGTTGACACTGTTTTAGGTGTAACAACGTAAGGATTTGACAGGTCTGTATGTTCTGCTATGCTCATCACAAGTGTAGCTACCATCTGTCACCATACAGTGCTATTACAGTGCCATTTACTGTATTCCTTATGCTGTGCCTTTCATCCCCGTGACTTATTCATTCCGTAACTGGAAGCCTGTACCTCTCCCCCTTCACTCATTTTGCTCCCCCTACCCCAACTCCCCTCTGGCAACTATCAGTGTGAAGAACTATGTCTTTCTGTGTATCTTAGCTAGATAGACAAAACATGAAGTGCCCATTAGGCGTATGTGGAATATTGGCAAGATATATGCAGATTAAAATTTATATGTTTATAAGATAAAAGGAGCAAAATAATGGGTTAAGCCATGTGAAATTGCTGGTATTTGACTACTTTTGCCTTTCCAACAGGCGGTTTCATACAATTAAACAAAAAGACCAGTAGTGGGCTATTGATTTCTAATATTGGCAGAGCTGAATACCATTTTTTTTTAAAACATGTTTAAAATTATGTTTTTAGAGCTGATGGGAACCACAGCAGTTATTTAATACTCAAGGTTTTGCCTTAGCATAAACTGATGTATTACAAAGAGAGACAATACAGAATCCTTATGGATCACAACAGTAAATATTATAATGTCTTTTCTGACATTTGCTCTATTACAGTCCTCCTGTCAGGCGCCAGAGAGGAAGAAGGGATCGTCTGTCTCGACATAATTCCATTAGTCAAGATGAAAACTATCACCATCTCCCTTACGCACAGCAGCAAGCAATAGAGGAACCTCGAGCCTTCCACCCTCCGAATGTATCTCCCCGTCTGTTACACCCTGCTGCTCATCCACCCCAGCAAAATGCAGTAATGGTTGACATACATGATCAGGTATAGTAACAGAATGTCCAGAAAATATACAATGCTAAAAATTGTGGCAGTTGATTGAGGTTGTTTGTTTTTTTGTTGTAAATTTCTTTTAATTTTACCTAAAAGGAAACAATTTTTCCTAAACTGAAGCTGTTTTAGATAAGTTCATTCTTCTTAAATTCTATGCAGCTTAGAAGAAAGTTGAACTTTAAAAAATTAGGAGCAAGGTTATAAGCTCAGAATGGTTTCATGTATTGGTTGGAAATCACTGATAACAAGATTAATAGGAGGTACCAGACAGCTGGTTTGAATACACATTTCTATTTTCCTCTCCCAGTTTCTTCTGGATAATTCAGTAGGCAAGACAACTGGGTGCTTTGCTGATAGGTTTCCATGGGTCTCCAAAGGGATGACTGGTAGAAGGCTTCATTTCCCTTTGTTCTTGCTAGGAACTGAGGGACTAGTCAAGAAGAAGAGGGCTTGTCAGTCTTCAGAGCCTGAGAGTAAAGACCAAAATTGTTTGGATTTCTATGGAGTTTCTGAAGTCAAAAAAGCCACAAATCTAGATATATCTAATAAAGTTGCTGAATTTTAAAAATAAGGAAAAGTCTTTAAAGTTTGTAGACAGGAGAAGTTAACAAAGGAGAGAAACTCAACTACCATTCATTTTTTCAACTGCACTAGATGATAGGAAACAATGAAAACACTGTATATTGACAATTGAAAGAAAATACGATCTCCCCCAGGCACCATCTTCTGTCAGATGTGTTCTACCCTATGTTAATCAAACACTTTATTTTTTTTTTTAAAGATTGATTTATTTATTTATTTGAGAGAGAGAGCACATGAGAGGGGGGAGGGTCAGAGGGAGAAGCAGACTCCCTGCCGAGCAGGGAGCCCGATGCGGGACTCGATCCAGGGACTCCAGGATCATGACCTGAGCCGAAGGCAGTCGCTTAACCAACTGAGCCACCCAGGCGCCCGTTAATCAAACACTTTAAAAAATTGATCACACAGTAAGAAGTTCTAAAAAGAAAAATTTTTCTAGACCACATTCTTTGTGGGCATAATCTGATAAAACTATAAATCATAAGTTTAAAAATGACACCGAGGGGTGCCTGGGTGGCTTAATCATTGGGCATTTGCCTTTGGCTCAGGTCATGATCCCAGGGTCCTGGGATCGAGCCCCACATTGGGCTCCCTGCTCAGCGGGAAGCCTGCTTCTCCCTCTCCCACTCCCCCTGCTTGTCTTCCCTCTCTCGCTGTGTCTCTTTCTGTCAAATAAATAAATAAAATCTTTAAAAAAATAAAAATGACACTGAAATATTTGAGGCAAGATTATAATTAAGGAAAATTAAAGGAAAAATCCTCAAAGTCGGTGAGATATGCCTAAAGCTGTTTTCTGAGAAAATTTTATGAACCTTCACTATTTATTTTAAAAATTGAAAATAAATGAACTAATTGCCTCAGTAATTAGGGGAAAAAATTACAGAGTAAACCAAAAGGAATTGAGAAGAATAAATTACCAGGAAACACAATTAGAATTAACAATACAGAAATCTTTTTTTTTTTTTTAAGTAGCACAAAACCCAATCCTGTTGCTTTGAAAAATTGATAAGACTAACCAGCACCCTGTGAGCTTGGTTAAGGTGAAAAGAAAAAATATATAAAGGAAGTAGGACTGATTAAAAAAAGACGTATATCCATACACATAGGAAACATTCAAAGAATTTTCTTCAATTGTAAAATGAAGGGCGCCTGGGTGGCTCAGATGGTTGGGCGTCTGCCTTCGGCTCAGGTCATGATCTCGGGGTCCTGGGATCGAGTCCCGCATCGGGCTCCCTGCTCCTTGGGAGCCTGCTTCTTGCTCTGCTTCTCTCTCTCTCTCATGAATAAATAAATAAAATCTTTAAAAAAAAAAAAAAATTGTAAAATGAAAACACCTGTTTCATAAGGGACGTTGGGAGAATTAAGAGTTAATCTATTTTGAGCACTTAAACTAGTACAAGTGGTAAGCACTCTATTATTTTGTTATTAGCTATATAATGAAATTCTGTGTATAACTCTGGGGGGACAGGAAGAAAATGTGAAGTTCCAAAAATTGACCCAACAATAATAGAAAAATTTGAATTACCACATAAGTGTAAAAGCTACTTAGAGATTTACCATTGAAGAGGCACAGTGATTAGATGGCTTCACAGATGATTTTTCCAACCTATAAGAAACTCTCATGTAATAATATACAAATGATTTCAGGCTTTTCTTAAGACCAATTTTCTAATTATTTTATGAAGCTCATGTAATTTTAATATCAAAAGTAAATAAAGGTGAAGTAGTAATTCCCAAAGAACAATAGAAGAAGTCTTTCAAATACAAAGGAAGATTTTCTAAGTAGATGTTTAGAAATACAGTCTAGCAGCATATCAAAAAGAATAATAACCTATGAATAAATAAGGTTTATTCCAAATAAGAGGATAGCTTAATATGAAAATATTCATATTACATCAACAAATAATAGAAAATGATCATTTTATCAGAAGATGTTGAAGTCAGTTAAAATTTAATAAAAACTCTAATAAGGTAGAACAAAATGGAAATTACTTAAATATAATAAGTAAAATTAACGGCAAGTATCCTAATTGGCCAGAGATGAATCAGCAACTAGAGATGTTTGCTCTGTCCACTTTTATTTAATGTTATATTAGAAGTTCTACCAAATGGAATAAGATAATGTAGTTATAGGTATAAAACACTGAAAGGAATAATTATATTTTTCTCCTCACTGTATAATTGTAGAAGAAAACACAAGAAACTCTAGTTTAAGGGGCACCTGGGTGGCTCAGTCGGTTAAGCGGCTGCCTTCGGCTCAGGTCATGATCCCAGGGTCCTGGGATCGAGCCCCACGTCGGGCTCCCTGCTCGGTGGAGAGTCTGCTTCTCCCTCACCCTCTGCCTGCCTCTCTGCCTACTTGTGCTCTCTCTCTCTCTGTCAAATAAATAAATAAAATCTTTAAAAAAAAAAAAAAAGAAACTCTAGTTTAAAAGAATTTGTTATGGTGCCCAAATGCAGATTAAATGTGTAGACATCTGTGACTTACATTGATCACTTGATGAATAGATACAATATGGTATATCCATACAATGAAATAATTCACTAAAAAGTGTAGCGAAGTATTAATTCATGCTATACTACATGGATTAACCTTGAAAACATGCTAAGTAAAGAAAGCCAGTCACAGAAGGCCACATTTATAGGAAATGTCTAGAATTAGATAAATCCATAGAAATGGAAATGAATTGTTGCCAGTATTGTTATGGAGGATAAGCCAGGACAGAAGGCAAGGAAAAGAGTTTAAGAATAAAAGCACAAATAACACCATCAGTATTTGCAGATGAAATGATCATATGCATAGAAAAGCCCAAAGCATCTTAGGTAAGCTATTAGAATTAAGAATTAAACAGATTGATCAGTTACAAAAACCTATCAACAATCAGTTGTATTTTTCTATACCAGAATCGAACATAATAAACAGTTTTTTTAAAGATATATTTACACTAAACAACCCAGATTTTTTCAACCGATAAGCTGTGGTGATGAGGGTGAGGAGGGGCGATGCAAGTGGCAGTTGAAACTTAGAGATCTTCCAATTAATTGTAGTATGTAAACTATTTTTGGATTCTGAATGAAAATTTGATACTGATGATGCAAGTGGAATTTTGAACAGAATATTATTTTTAAAGATCTTTTTCTTAAGGGAGATTGATAATGCTATTGTGGTTAAGTGTTTGTGTCTTCCAGAAATACGTACTAAAATATTAAAGGATTGGGGGGCGCCTGGGTGGCTCAGTCGTTAAGCGTCTGCCTTTGGCTCAGGTCATGATCCCAGGGTCCTGGGATCGAGCCCCGCATCAGGCTCCCTGCTCAGCGGGGAGTCTGCTTCTCCCTCTCCCTCTCCCCCTGCTTGTGTTCCCTCTTAAGCTGTGTCTCTCTCTGTCAAATAAATAAATAAAAATCTTAAAAAAAAAAAAAAAATTAAAGGATGAGTTCCTGGGATTTGCTTCAACAAAATACAGGAAAGGGAGAAGTTGATGGAAATGAATTGGCTGTGGTTTAATGGTTTTGGAGGCTACGTGATGCATATGGGGGCTCATTATACTAATGTTGAGCATGTTTGAAATTCTCTATAATATTCAAATAAAAACGTATCATTGAAAAAATCAAAATAATATAAGGAAGTTATGAAGCAATCTTAATAAAAGAAATTCAAGATTTCTTTTTTTTTAAGATTTTATTTATTTATTTGACAGAGAGACAGCAAGAGAGGGAACAGGAACAGGTGGAATGGGAGAGGGAGAAGCAGACTCCCTGCTGAGCAGGGAGCCCGATGTGGGGCTTGATCCCAGGACTCTGGGATCATGACCTGAGCCAAAGGCAGACACTTAACGACTGAGCCACCCAGGCGCCCAAGAAGTTCAGGATTTCTATGTAGAAGATTATAAAACTTTGTTACGGCAGTTTAAAGAAAACCTGTCTAAATACTGAAGGTTTGGCTTATAAGCCTTTTTGTAAAAACTGCCCGTTGTCAAAACTGACATTCGGAATATGTAGAAATAGCATAATCTCAAGTAAATTTCCAGGAAGTTTTTGGTGTAATTTGAAAAGCTGATTCTGTCATTTCTATGGCATTTTATAAAGGACCTGGAATTATCTTAGAGTGGGGGAAAGCAGGCTACTGCTGGCTGTTTTTGTAGTTTTTTGGAATGCAACTATGTTTGTTTATTTATCATCTATGGATGCCTTATGCAGAGATCAAGATGCCCACAAGCCTAAAATACTTTCTGGCTCTTTAAGAAATAGTTGGCTGACTGGCACTGTGGTCTAGTCGGTAAGACCAAGTGGTTCTCAGAGTATGTCCTAGATCATCTGGCCAGCAGCAGCAGCATCACCTATACATTTGTTAGAAATGCAGGTTCTCAGACTATACACTAGACTTACTGAATCAGAAACTCTGGGTGTGGGACCCAGCAACCTGTTCTAATGCAGGTGATTCTAATGCCAGAATAATTAAATGGGCTAATGAAATAGAACATAAAGCCCAGAGATAAACCCACCCATTTATGAATACTTTAATGATAAATGGCTTCAAATGAGTTGGAAGAAGATAGAATTTTTAATAAATGATGCTGGGACAATTGGGTATCCAAATGAAAACATGAAATTGGATCCTTTATCTCATACCGTTCACAAAAATCAGTTCCAGATATATTAAAGATGTAAATGTTAATGGCAAAACTATAAGCTTTTAAGAAAGTAACGTAGCAATAGCTTCATGACCTTAGACTAGGGAAGGCTTTCTTAAGTAAGACATGGGAAAAGCACTAACCATACAGAGAACTGTTGATAAATTAAACTTAAAGAATTGTGTTCATTGTCAGAAATAGACTTAAACATATGTTTGTCACTTAATTTTTCGCAAAGGTGCTTTAAGGAATTCAAGGAGGGAAAGGAAGGTCTTTTAGTTATGGTATGGTGACAGTTGGATATCCATGCACATAAGTTGGAACCCTGACTCCTACTTGATATCATACACAAAATAAAGTTGGGTTCTAGATCTAAATGTGAAAGGTAAAAGATACTGTCTTCATAAGGTTGGCAAAGATTTCTTAAACAGGATATATAAATAGCCACTTATTGGAACACCAGCATAGTAGATTTCATTAAAATAAAAAATTTCTGCTCATCCAAAGACAGTATTTTAAAAGTGAAAAAGCAAGCCACTCCCTGGAAAAAAGTATTAGCAGTATTATTTCAGGGAAAAGACTGAACGGGAACAGAAAAAGAAATTCAGTAAACATTTCCATGAAAATCAGATTATGAGTGCCTGTGAACATCATTTTTGAAGGTTCTTTATCACTAAAGCAAAAAGACAAAGTAAATAATTGTGTTGAATCTTAGCAGATAGAGTTGTACACGTACATAGGAAAAAGTTTTTAAAAATCTAGAATGAAGTTGGGTAAGATTGTTAGATTCAAGATACGTAAATAAAACTAGCACTAACCAATTTGATATGGAGAAAAATAACCTATTGACAATATAATAGAACCTACAAACTTACTAAAGAACTTTGAGGAATAAATTATATGAGTAATATAAGATCTTTATGAAGAAAAGTAATTTCTTGAAGGACAGTACTATAGTATTGAACATGTGGCATAATATTCCAATGAAAAACCTTAATATAAAATTACGTGTCCTTTGTAAAGTAACGTAACCTTTAATATAGTTAGATTAATAAAAATCAAGACACCAGTGGGTTTTGAAAGGGGATAAAATTTGAGTTTATTTACGTAAGAATAAGCATGTGAAAATGGCCAAGAAATAAAATGAAAAAGTATGGCAATAAGAAGAATTTGTCTTCCTACATCCTAATTTCTAGTAAGATAACTAAAGCAGTGGGGAGCCCAGGTGGCTCAGTCATTAAGCGTCTGCCTTCGGCTCAGGTCATGATCCCAGGGTCCCCGGATCGAGCCTCCTGCTCAGCAGGAAGCCTGCTTCTCCCTCTCCCACCCCCTCCCCCCCGGCTTGTGTTCTCTCTCTTGCTGTGTCTCTCTCTCTCAAATAAATAAAATCTTAAAAAAAGATAACTAAAACAGCACGAATTTGGCACAAAGTATAAGTGGGAAGTTATTGAGTGGGAAAAGGTGTTATTTCCGTTTAGAGGGGAAAAGGATGTCTTAATAAATGGAACAAGTATTGCAAGAAAAAATTAGAACACTACTTCACACTATAAGCAAAAACAGATTTTAGTTGGAGTATAAATTAAATGTAAAAAATAAAAGTATTAGAAAGTTCAGGAGCATATTTTTTTTCATTCATTAGGAGCATAAATTTTACAAGTACATCTACTTTGATTGGAGGTGCTGGGAAATGGGCCCTATTGTTACTGTTAGGATTGTGGCTTACTCAGCCTTTTGCGAAAATGTAAAATTCACCCTTCTACCCTGAATCCCTCTTAAATAAATGAAACTACTAGTATGTAAGGATATATATTCAATGATATTTTTTACAGTTGTGTTTGCATTGGTGAAGGAGTGAAAACAATTTGAATATCCCATTAGTATATTAGCGATAGGACTGTGTTGAGTGTACTTGAAATATTTGGCTAGTATCAAAAAGAATGAATTGACTTTAACGCCCTTGAAGAGATATCTACAATACTAATTGAAGAAAGTAATTTGCAAGGTAATATCACTTATGTTAAGGGGAAAAAAAAACATGACAATTTGTGGGTAATCTGTTTGTATATATTCATATGCTCATGGAGAAAGATGTTGAAGGATTATATGTTATTAACATTGTTTGCCTCAGGTAGGATAGGAATCAGACTGGCCAAGAGAGAAGGAAATTATTTAACTTTCTTTATTCTACTTTACATTGTTTTACTGGTTGGATTTAAATTAAAAAAAAAAATTCCTGTTGGATGTGGCTAGGTATTAGAAGATACAGCTTTCATGTTTCCAAGTTTCTTCAGAAAAGTTTTCTCTATAAAGCAGACTAGAAGAGTTAATACAGCAGTTTATTATTCTCCTGGACTTTTCAAGTCTTTTTGAGGGTCAAGTTGAGTCTCAGTTCTGTGGGTTTCATACACTTTTCTTGAAACAGATGTCCTATACAATGACAAAGAATATTCTGGTTGAAACTATTGGAGAAGTACATTGTGAAACTCTGTGCAGATGAGAGGGGAATCAATAACGGCCCAGATTTTAATTTTTGATAGTTGATTTTTATTCAAACAGCTGAAGTTCTAAGGTTCTGTTTTTCTTTCCTAATAGCTCCATCAGGGCACTGTCCCTGTTTCTTACACAGTAACAACAGTGGCACCACATGGGATCCCACTCTGCACAGGCCAGCACATCCCTGCTTGCAGTACACAACAGGTCCCAGGATGCTCTGTGGTTTTCAGTGGACAGCACCTCCCTGTCTGTAGTGTGCCTCCTCCAGTAAGTCTGCCGTCCCCTTAGAAGGGCTAAGTGTGTTCTGTAAGCAAACAGAATTGAAGAGTGCTCTTTGTAAAAACGCTTTTCATTTTCAAGTGAAAAAAGGCAATTTTATTGCAACAGCAATCTCAAAGCATACTTGTAACAGTTTAATAAAATTAACTTTAAAACTTGGTATATTTTCAAATTAAATTATACATATTTGAATATCCTGAAGACAAAGCATGTATCAACACTGTTTATAATTAAACCTTGATAAAGGCTGGGTTTAAGGTACTAACATAGGATATTGAACTAGTTAGTAAGTTAGTCTCACAGGCTTTAGTGATCAACAATAATAGTCTAAGCACTTACTGGATTTTAGCAGGCACTTTGAGTGCTTGGTCTTACTTATTTCTTACTGTAGGAAGCCTGTGGTGAAAGTGGTATCCCCATTTTCTAGATGATGAAATTGAAAATGACTTGCTTAATGTCACAGAGATAATTAGTATGAGAGAGCAGTGATTCACACCCACTTCTTTCTGACTCTTAAGCTTACGTTTTATCCTTTAATCCACCAACCCCCAGTCCAACCTCCTTATTTCACAAATGAGGTCGCTGAAATCCAGAGAATTTAAATGACTTGTCTAAGGTCTTCAAAGTAAAGCACTTTGCTGAAACTAAATATAATCCTAATATCCTTATTTGAATGTGAGATTAAAAGGAACACACAAATACCAACAGTAGTTTAATGTATTCATTTATCCCAACCTTGGTTTCTCAATAATGGATTATGGAATCAGTGTGCTGAATTAGCAGACTAAAATATTCAGAGACAAAACATAAAAGGCACTTAGTGAGTTGGGCTCTTAATAAATATCAAAATTCTATAAAATTTTTGTAAGATTGAAAAGGAGAGGTTCTTGGAAGGGAAAGCAGTAATACCCACTTCTTCAGTCAAGTAGAAGGAGCTTCCTCTTCTATGCAGCACTTTTCACCGCATTTCATAGGTGTCAAAAAGCTAAAGAGGAAGTTAGGTGTTTTGACTGATGTGTCAGAACTATATAAAATGCAGAATAATTACTAGTTACCAGTATTTTACTGATAGATGCAAAAATACACTACTATTTCATTGTTAATGTAGGTCATTAAGACACTTTGGTATGATTTTGAGCGGGATATGGCAATGACATTTCAATCTCAGTGATAGATTTTTTAAAAATTATTATTACTAGTTATATATTGAAACATTAAACAACAAATAACGATTTCTTTTACAGATGCTTCAAGCATGTTCAGTTCAGCACTTACCAGTACCATATGCTGCGTTCCCACCCCTTATTTCTAGTGACCCATTTCTTTTACATCCTCCTCACCTTTCTCCCCATCATCCTCCTCATTTGCCACCACCAGGCCAGTTTGTCCCTTTCCAAACACAGCAATCACGATCGGTAGGTATCTACTCTTATGTCTTTAATTTTCAGAGAATGTGTAGACCTAAGAGACAGATTAATTTAGTACATGTAATTTGTTACCATTTAAAAACTATAATTTAGGCATTCTTCTGGTTCTTAAAAGAATTAGGGAATTCACAGACATACAAATTAATATAAACATCTTTACCTAAAATTATCTTGGTTGCTTAAATTTTTCTAGTTCTTTTGTATAATATAAATTTGTTCCTTCATATCTGCAATCTTTCAGGAAGTAAGTCTGAAGAAAAATTCAGTTCTGTTTTTTCCTTTTATGTATTTCTGAAATCATGGAAAATGAAAGTATTATAAAATTGTTTATACTTGCTATAATAATTACATTCATTTAGGCAAGTAAAGTAAATTTCTGAGCCTCAGTTGTTTTTTTCGTTGTTTTCTGGGTTTTTTTGAAGTCCTGTTTTTCTACTATATTCTGATGAAAAGATGAGATCATCTATTAACATAGTTAATTCTGTCTTGGGACTGGAATTTAGCTGAGAGGCATATTGGGGTTAGAGGAGGTATAAGCACCGTAGAAGTGGAAGGGAGGGCACAGGAAGGAGGCCCAGATGTTTTTTGGACAGGCCAAGTTAAACAGCTGAACTGTCATTCAGGAAAAACAGGTAAGAGAACATAAGGAATGGTTAAGGGAGAAGATTTCCATCCTGTGAAAGGAACTTGACCATGTATTCTAGCAGAACCTAACCATCCTTTACTAAGGATTTATACACCATGCTGGGTTTCAGGTAGAGATGAACTTAACATGGATACTCTTCTGACAACTATAGAAGCCAATTAGGACAGAAGTTTGGCTAATCCAAAAAGTTATAACTACTTCTACAAGAAAATCTTCTATTAGAATCAGGGCAGGATTGATGCCAGAATGTTCCTTAGCTTCCAGTACCTGAGAATTCAAGGTTAAAACAAAATTTTGCTATCACTTATGTTTGAGTTTGGAATCCTTTAAAAGGTCCAGTCACATAGCCAAATCAGAACTTAGGTTCACTTGTGTTGTCATAGTGTCAGCAGTTGGGATTTCTCTCAAGCATATATAAGCTCCCAAACTAAAGTGAAATTTTGTTTGAATAGTGAACAGTGTGTTGATATTGTCTAACTTCAGGAGGAAGTCAGACTAACTTTGAAGAATACATGTTCCTAAGAGAAACAGATACCCAAAAATATGTACATAAATGTTCATAGCAGCATTATTCCTAACAGCAAAAAGCGGAAAGAGTTCAGATGTCCATCAACTGATGCAGTGAATCATTTTTCAACTATAAAAAGGAATGAAATACTGATACACAAACTACAAGGTGGATGAGCTTTGAAAACATTATGCTAAGTGACAGAAGCCAGATACAAATGACACATACTTATGAAATGTCCTAAATAGGCAAATTTGTAGAAATGGAAGGTAGATTGGCGATTGTCCAGGGCTTGGGCAGGAGTGGAAAAATGGGGTAGTGGACTGCTAATGGGCACGGGTTGGAGGAGGGGGGCTCTGGAATTAAATAGTGGTGATGTGCACACAGGTCCTGTGTGAACTCCTAAAATCTACTGAATTGTATCCTTTTGCAGGGTGATTTTTTTATAGTATGTGAATTATATCTCAGTAAAACTATTGTCAAGAAGAAACATGCTGTGTGCTTTGCTTTTGTACATTGTCTCAGTGTTCATAGCATGCTTTTGAAGTAGGCAGTGAACCTGTGAGTCCTCTAGATAATATTGAGGTTCATATTAAGTTATTTATATAAAAGTCACATGGCTGATTAGTGACAACAGCAAATCTGTCTAATGCCGAAGCTCATAAGCTTTCTAATATAGCATCATGCCTGCTCTATCTTATCCCATTTAGCCCTGGTTCTGATTTATAAATATACACCTGCTCAATTTCATATACTAAAAATTAAATGTCTGAAAAAATTTTATGAGTAGGTCAGTGTATCATGACTAAAAAGCAATTTTAACTTTCATATACTTTCAGTCTCCTTTTTAAGAGAAATTTCAAATAGTAAAATGTTATCTTTGAATGGATAGCGGAAATGTTTTAATGACCTGTTTCAGAGATTTTCTTACTGAAATCCAATTAAAGATAGGAAGATTTTACTATAGTCTGTATGTCCACATGTATAAATTTAGATTGGTGTAAACATCAAGAAATACATGACCTTAAAGGTGTTTTTGGAGGGGGGGTTAATTTTTATTCTAAAACATAGTCTAAACACTGGTAGTATATTAATATATTAGTTTGCTTTTTTCCTCCCTCAGCCTCTGCAAAGGATAGAAAATGAAGTGGAACTCTTAGGAGAGCATCTTCCAGTAGGAGGTTTTACTTACCCTCCATCAGCCCATCCCCCAACATTACCTCCATCAGCTCCTTTGCAGTTCTTAACCCATGATCCTTTGCATCAGGAGGTGTCCTTCGGAGTAGTAAGTTTTCATTCATGGTTATTAATCTATTACTTGCTCTGATAACTTACTTGTTTTGAGTTGTTTCTATGTAACTCTACATATTTAGAATTTTAAATGTATTCTTGAAAGCATTTGGTTGGAAAATTGTATTTAAAAATACACCTAAGTGTGCCTGGGTGGCTCAGTCGTTAAGTGTCTGCCTTTGGCTCGGATCATGGTCCCAGGGTCCTGGGGTCGAGCCCCACATCGGGCTCCCTGCTTGGCAGGAAGTCTGCTTTTCCCTCTCCCTCTCCCCTTGCTTGTGTTTCCTCTCTCTGTGTCTGTCTCTGTCAAATAAATAAATAAAATCTTTAAAATAAATAAATAAATAAAAATACACCTAAGTGTATTTTCTTTTTTTAAAGATTTTATTTATTTCTAGAGAGAAAGAGAAAGCCGGGGGCGGGGGTGGCGGCGGCGGTGCGAGCAGAGGGAGAGGGACAAGTAGACTCCACGCTAAGCTCGGAGCCTGATGTGGAACTTGATCCCTGAAATCATGACCCCAGCCGAGATCAAGAGTCAGATGCCAAGCTGCCTGAGCCACCCAGGTGCCCCAACCACTAAAAAATACAACTAAGTGTATTTTTTAAACTAGTTGTTGTATTTATGCTTTTAATAAATACCAAATGTTACTTAAATAGTAAGGAATTTTGTAGGTTTTTTAGGAAGAGAGACCATTCGACAGAATAAATAGTTACAAAAGTAGAATGATCTTAAATTGTTTTAACATTTTTCTCCTACAGCCTTATCCTCCATTTATGCCTCGGAGGCTCACAGGACGTAGTAGATATCGATCCCAGCAGCCAATACCACCTCCCCCTTATCATCCCAGCTTACTACCATATGTATTGTAAGTTCTGTTTTTCTCATTTTAGTGAATTCTGAATTTTGATACCCTTGACATTCTCTTTCTTTTATGAATATCTTCTATGTGACATATGATTTAGGGTGTGTTAGAGATTTGTTTTTATTTAATATTAAGGGGTGGGGATGGGGAACTATGTAAGGGTAAAATAAAGAGAAGAGCCAAGAACAAGGGAGAAGTGGGAGAGGAAGAAATTTGTGAGCCAGAAAATAGGTCAAAAGGTTAAAAAATAAATCAAAAGGTAGAAAAGTTTACAGTTTTTGCCTCTCTTACAGCTGTGATCACTAGCCACCTTTGAATATCCAGCTTTTTTTTTTTTTTTAATATTTTATTATCTGAGAGAGTGCGCACATGCACGCAGCAGGGAGGGGCAAAGAGCGAGGGAGAAGCAGACTCCCCGCCCAGCAGGGAGCCCGACGTGGGGCTTGATCCCAGCCAGAACCCTGGGATCATGACCTGAGCCACCCAGGTGCCCCGAATATCCAGCTTTTGATGTTGCTGCTTTCCCAAGGAAAGAGGGACAGAGAAGTCATTTCTGTGCCTTAGAAATACTGTTAGGATTAAGTTTGTAACAAATGCCCAAGGCTTACACATGATAGTTTTGAATTTCTCTCATTTAATGAGTTCAGAAGTAGGCAGTTCAGGGATTGTTAGCCCCATAATTAAGGAATGGTTCTACCATGTTCAAAATTTTATGGCTTTCTCTACATGATTGAAGTTGGCTCTTTGGGTTCTAGCCATTATATCTACACTCCAACTAGCAAAAATGAAAATGGATCTCTCTGCCTACCTGCCTCCTCTCAAGGATACTTTCATAGAAGTTGCATGTATTACTCCTGCCTACTTCCCACTGGCCAGAATTCAGTCTCAAATCTGTAATTACCTTCTAAGAAGACTAGGAAATGTCTTTATACAGAGGGCCATGTTCCTATACCACACTATTTTGATAATTTTAGCTGTATTATAAGTCTTAAAATCAGATGGTATCAGAACTTGGTTCTTAAGATTATTTAAAGTCTTACATGATCCATGTAAAGTTTAAAATCAGCAGATTGGTTTCTACTAAAATAGAGTTTGCTGGGATTTTAGTAGGGGTTGCATGAAATTTATAGATCAGTTTTGGAAGAGAATTGATATCTTCTAGTCTGCATAACAGTATATTTCTCTATTTATTAATTTTTTAAAAATTTTTCCTGATAGTATTTTTAGTTTTTAATTATATAGGTCTTGCATGTGTTTTGTTAAATTAATCCCTGATGGGGCGCCTGGGTGGCTCAGTTGGTTAGGCG